GCGGGCGAGGAAGAACGAGGCCGACGTGTTGTGGCCGGGACGGCCGACAGACATCTTGACCTCGGCTTCCCACCAGCCCTGGCGGGTGTTGAAGGGGACGATGTCGTGCGGGAGCTTCATGATCGGGTCGTCCAGCCAGAGGTGCACGCGCGGTCGGAAGCTGTGGATCACGACCGAGGCTTCGTACGGCCAGAAGATGGCCACGCTGGGCGTCCGCTCGGCGAGGAGGCGGTAGCCTTCGATGCAGCCGCGGCGGGGATCGTAGTGCGCGATCATCACACGGCCGATGTGCGGTTCGTCGGAGATCCAGATCCGGGACCGCGGCACGAACCAGTAGGGGTGGTGCGTGATGTAGAGGTCGCGGTATGACGAGGATGGGTACGGATCGGGGGGGAAGTCCTCCGGTGGGATGTTCGGACGGAGGAGATTCGCCCACAGCAGGTCATTGGAGGCGAGGCCTCGAAGCTGGCGGCATGTGCGAGCGAGGGAGACGAGCGACTGGGGCGGCAGGTAGCATAGGATCTGGTGAAGGATTTCAGAGGGGAGTTGAAGGAGCAGTGCGTCTTGCTGGTCGATGGCGAATTTGACAGAGACGGCGGCGGCGGCGGCGGCGTCGTCACTTCCGTCCGCTACGAACATCTTCCGTCTCTCGTCTTCCTCCATCGTGTCAATGGTGCGCCTTTGGAAGAGGCCCATTGTTTGTCGAGATATAGGGCCTCGGCGTGGATAGTTTCGATTTAGTGATGCATCATTGACGGTGACGCGATAATGGAGCGGCTACCGAGAAGGGCCCCAAGTCAGGACGTAGTCGACCTCGATGCGTGGCCTGTGGACGACAGGGAGATGCGAAGAAGAGAGGTGCAATCAGAAGGCTGAGAAAGGCTACGCTACATATGTATTGCCCCGCCATGGGGATATCAAGGGAGCGACAAACTTGATATTGCTTCCTTCTGTTCTGACGAGCACGCGATCCTCCCGCACCGCAGCAGGCGATGTCGATTGGAAGAGGCAGCCGACGAGCGAGTCGATACTTATACAGAAGTGGAAGGTGAGGTGCCGTAAGCGCAAGCCAGCCCGTTCATGGATTTCGCCGTCCTCGGAGGCCCCGCCATCGTATAACCCACTGTCGCCGTGTCCGCAAAGCTTCTCCGAACTATACTACGACTGCTATAGAAGGTGATAAGAGCCAGGCAGTGGGAGGCCGCGCAGGATCCATAGCCTCCTGCCTCTCTGGGAGCACACGAAGCCCCGTTCCTGCAGGTGCCACGTTGCCGCAATCCTTGCCACGGTGCTAGCCTCCTCAGGCAGATAGCGGAGGATGTCGAACGTCCCGTCCTAGTCGCTCCCGATATGCACCCACTGTCTGCCACCGCTGTTCCACTGTGACCGACCTCCTCTCAGTGATGGGCTGCACAGTAATCGCCTGGAATCCGATAGCATCGTCACCGTGGCTGATCGGGCAGGCCGTGGCAACTGTACCTCTCCGCTTGCGTCGGCTACGTCTGAGCACGCATCTTCTCTCCATGCTTTCCTGATGCTAGCCTAATGACCGATTACTGTTTCACCACCAAGGCGTAACGCACCGAAATCGGATTGCATTCCCAGCCAGCAGATTCGATCATCCCTGCCTCAACAGGGTGCCTGAGTTGCTGAACACGGCCAAGTCCCTGCAGAAGAGCATCCGATCCCGCGAGAACGAGGTAGTTTCCGGACACCGACGCCAGCCAGCACTGGTTTAGGATGCAACTTTGACCGTATACAATGCAATTGTGTGTTGATATTCGCTCTTCAAGGACGCACTTCAATCAGCCGCGTTTTTGAGTCTCGTCAATTCCAAATCCATCATTTTCTCTCGGTGTTGTGGTGTGCGTAAGGTTCTCATCTTCCCATATCTCGCGTTCAAGATCTTTCAGACTGTATGGCTTGATATTGGGATCCTTTGGTGGATCGGGGATGAGGAATTTGCCGATAGGCTCGCCGAATATTCTTGTCAACCAGGTTTGTCGAGCTTTCCTGTCTTCATTCATCGAGACAGAGTACTTGAACAGATCTTCGGCGTACAGGTCTGTCAGTCTGGCTTCTTGCAGAGCTGCTCGTGCGGCCAATTCTCGTTCATGCGGTGGATACTCGTGGAGCGGCTTCTTCATCTTGTCCTCCATGGCCTTGGGCAGAGCCATTTGCTCAATCGTTGGCGCAGGTCGGTTGGGGTTGAAGAGGGATGAGAGAGGTGGAATGGGCCGGTCATTACGCTTTGCGTCTTCCACCTCGGCTTCGTAGTCCATCATCCGGTGGTACAGTTTGTCTGCATGCATCTGTATTTTCTCTTCGTCTTCGGCCGAACTCGTCGAGCTTGTCATGTATCCCAATGCCTGCAGAAATTTGGCTTGCAGCTGGTAGCAGCGGTTGAAGGCTTTCGTCTCCTCATGACACATGGTCATTCTTCCACGCACCCTGCTGGATAGGTCGCCACCTTTGAAGCAAATTTGTTGCATTTCCTCCTCAAAAGCGCAGTTTTCCAATGCAGCTTTGTGTATAGATTGATTTCTTTCTTTTCTTGCCGACAGAACTCGTTCTACCGGGGTAGAAGTTGCCGCAGCAATGTCGTCTTGAGGGACGTAGGACTTCCAAATGTGCTTGTATCGGCCATCTTGAAAGAGGGACTCCTTAGGCAGCGGTTTGTCCTCGGGAGACAGATTTGGGTCTGGAACTGCTGCTGAAGGTTTTGGAGTCGGATCAAACTTCTCTTGAGGTTTGGGCTGTTCGATCGGAGGGTCTGCCGGGACATATGGCCGTGGTTGTTGCTCCTTCAGGAATTGCTTCAAGTCATCGTCTAGTTCCTTCGCAGGATCATCTTGGCTATTCTTCCCCCAAAACCAGCCCATGACCTCCAGTACGTGATCTTTGTGGACTAGCCTCGCGACAACAACGGACTCATGGTGCGACCGGCTCAGGAGCCTCACGATACGCAGTGTTCAAGAAACAATTTCGGAGAACATCTTCGCAGGTCCAAGCCAACGCGGCTCGCCCCGAATCGGGCCAAGAGTGATGCCGCCCTGTGCTCACCGTGTCACCCCAGCTGCACGCTCACCCGTACCTCACTTGTCGCTCGAAACTCGATCCCTGTCATTCGCCTCTGCCATTTGGCTCTTCGGCTCTTCTGTCTATTCAATCACACAGAATACCCATTCAGAAGCGGCGTCGCTACACGCTTCGACGCTGGCCTGGGAGCCTGACTGAGATGACTTCCTCCACGGGGGATGCAGAGAGATCAGGTGGTGTACCACAATAGAAATCACGATCCTTCGATGTCTTGGCCGCTGGTAGCTTTGGCCTCGATGGTGGGAATACCCGGCGAAGCATACTTACTTACAAGTAAGCCACAAAATCCGTGATAGGATCAAGTGACTCTCATCCATCTTGAGTAATGCAAAAAGCTGTCTGGTGACTTGAAGCACGACTGACTCGGTGCGCACAAATTTCCTGAATTTGTATTCCTGGTCAGCAACTTTAACAGTTCTTAGCCGAATGAGCTTGCAGAAATTCCTTGAAATGTCAATTGGGGGACCACGCCGGCGAGTTTACTGTCCTCCCAGACTTGTTTCCTGTTGCCGATCCAAGAACTATGGATCATTGTCACCTCAGAGACCATGCTCGGCGAGCTCTGAAATTGCAGTCGTCTGGACTCGACATCCAAACCATGATACTTGAAACCCCACAGAAGCGGAAACATCGAGACTGAATGGAGCGAGACTCAAAGGTTGTATCAAGAAGGCAGTCGTGAGGCAGACTTCGACGAATTCAAATTCAAAATCTGGACCAGGAGTGTCGCTGCTGGCGTCGATACTTTCGAATGTGAAACCATGGACCGTACACACGAGATCTCTAGCTTGGCCGCTCCTGGTACACTGAAGCGAAAGCGCGCTACTTCTACACACACTGATGCCGACCTCTAAGGCAACGGTAGCAATCAACGGCCGAACAAGATCTTTGCTACAGAAGACCAAGTTTGCCCAGACTCCTCAAACCAATCGTGCCGGGCTGCGGAGATCAGGGAGACTTTTAGATCGACAAAAAGTCATCTGCCGCAAGATCAATCTAGCTGAAGACGTATTCAACATCCGCTTTTGGGTCCATGCACACCGCTTACAGTCGATCTTCTCGTGGAGAAGATAGTCGCCGCAGCGCCTCCAGTTGTACAGTGGCTTCTGGGGAGAGGTCACATCGACTCGGCTTTGCTTGGAAAATATGCGCCTCGCATCTCCGAAGGTATGAATGGCATGCGAGGCTGCTATGTTGATTTTGGCGAGAATGGTGCGGATAACGGAGACTACATTGGAAGCTCAGGAAACATATCTGAGAGGGCGAGTGTCCACGGAGCGATTATCACGAGACTGTCGAGCAACAAGACGCTGACCATGAAGAAAGAACCTAAGCATTATTGTGTCTGGAGAGGTGAATGCAAGAAGAAGTTTGCCTCGGCGGAAACGCTTCATCGACTGTTACAACGTCAGGATGCATTAAACTTAGCGACGAGGTCATCGGATGGGTAGCATAGTCAGTAACAGTAGATATTTGTGAAATTGGGTTTCTCTCTCGGTTAACTCGACATTGCTTCACGAAGTCATTCAGAATACAGAGGTTTAGAAGTGTACCTGCTGACTGTCTGATAGAAATGGAATGTGATAGCAGCATTCCAAATGGCAACTCCATTAATATCGATTCCTACGATCTTAAGCCCTTCAGTGTAAAGACCTTCTCATCGCAAGAATCGCAGCGTCTCTTCAATACACTGGTCGTCTCGCGTTGGCCTTCAGGAAAGGTTGGTGGGTCGGACAAGTAATGGAAAAGATCGTGAGTTTGGGGTGTCAAAAGAATATTTTGTAAGAGGATACCAATAAAATCGTGAAGGCGCCAGACAACTAACTGCTCAAAGACTTCTGTATGTCGCAGTATGGCGATGGCAAAAATATAACGCTGTAATTTCCTCAAAAAAAGGATTTTCTCTCGAACCGGAATCGAGCCGGTGACCTTTCGGTAACAATTTAATCAATTACAGCCGAACGTGATAGCCAACTACACCATCGAGAGTTCAATTGCCTTGGATAGACAACGATGATTTTGGACTGATTGTTGGGCAGTTGTCGACACATTTAATTCATAGACCCAAATTTTATGGCTAGCGTCGGAAAGGCGGCTGAGGTCGGCTGAATCCCTGCATCACTCGGTCGCGTTTCCCCTCATTCGACGCGTCCATTGACTTAGGCTTCATCTCGCAATACCTTGACACACATTCTACTAGCTGAAGTTTTCCATCGCGTTATATTTTGACGGCTTCTTATGCGTCTTGCTGATGGTTATGGCTGCTCCTACTCGGGAAGATCGGGCGCTGATGCGCGTCCGCGGTGCTGGGTTTGTTTACCTTGACCATACGTGTTGAGTTAAAGCTGATAATGCTAGATCGCGCAAACCTCCGACGGTTGACTTTGGTTTCAATTTCGCTTTTGGGAACAATAAGCAGGGACGACCGCAGATACCCACGCCCGTACGATCTCTTCGCTCGAACACAAAAACCCCGCAATCAAGACGAGCGTCTTCGAGACAACCATCTAAAACACCGGCTAGCCGCAGCCGGCAATCACCTGCAGCAAAGTCTATTAGGCAAAGTTCCGGCACGCTCGACGAAACGGAAGGCGCCCAGGTGATAGAAGTGTCTACACAACCGGAGGAAAGCCTACGGTCGAGCAAGAGAAGGAAAATCACGCCCGACCTTGCGAACCCCAACCAAACTATATCGGTTAATATACCAAGGTCAATACCCTCAACTCGAGCGTCGCGAAGAAGAACTGCTAGCAGGGTCTTTCATATTGCCGAAGACGAGAACGCGCCGCAGAGCAACGAGCCAACTCCGGATAAGGAGGAGCAGGAGCAGCAACAGCAGACCTCCCCTCTGTTTGTACCTCAGAACGAGCAACAGAAAGAGAACGAAACGCCCAAAGATCGAGGAGCGAAATCGACCGTCCAAGAATCGATTTGGCAGACAACAAAAAGTGGTCGCATCTTGCTAGACCCTACCACTTTGCCTGAAGACATTACAGAGGAAGACGTTGAAGCGCCACAATCGGAGTATGGAACAGCGCTTCTTTCAGTTTCGGAAAGTCCATTGTTACATGTTTCGAAAGCACCAAGTATTTCCAAGCAGCACAAGCCGCGAAGGCGGCAGCCTTTGACACTCGACAAGAGGAGGGGCCGTTCATCCACGCCGACTCAGTCGACTGTTGCTTCCCAAGAGACCTCGATCGCTAAGCTTTCCTCTCGGGCTCCATCAGAGGAACCACCATCATCTATCCTGCCGCTGGCGGATCGAATCAGCAAGTATAGCAAACTTGCAAATAAAGTAAGAAAGCGCAAAGTGCAAACTCAGGCTACAGAACGCGAAGAAAGTCCGGAAGAGGCAGAGAATGAGGAAGAGGATGGGTCTTATGTCGAGGAGAGTGAGCCGGAGCCCGAAACGCCCGCGGCAAGCAAGAGGGCGAGTAGGCAGCCTCGGAAACGTCGCTCTCCTAGTAGATCTGCAGACGTGCCTGATCGCAAGAAGGGCAGGCCGACTTTTCCAATCCTGACTCACAGACTCACGAACATCTCGAGACTGCCGACGATCTCTGAGCAGGATGAGGAGGTGTTTCCCTCTGGAGACATCTCCCTCGACTCTACGACTGCACGCTCTCAGCCCAATGCGGTAGACGTACTAGCCCAAATCTGCCGCGAGACAATCTCAAACATGATTGAACGAGTCGCCGGATCAGCCCAGACTCTCTCGAAAGCCACAGCAAGGAATAAACGGACAGCACTCGAGGCATTTAGAAAAGACCTAGACGACGAACTTTTCGCCATGTCAGAAGCCGTCGAGAATCGCACCAATCTGGAAGCTCGCGTGCGGAAAAGTAAACGAGAGAAAGCAGCCCTGCAAAGTGAGTATCTTGAACTCCGTCGCGAGCGGGAACAAATCGCTTTGAGATGCGATGCGGTCAGACGACAACATTGGGAGTGTGAAGAAGAGACAAGGCAGAAGTGGAGCCTGAGCGAGGCTGCTCGGCGTGTGGAGCGGGAGTTGGAAAGAAACGAGGCAGACGAAGACGAGGGATTGGAGTTCTTGCTGCGCAGTGTGACGGAGTCAGTCAGCAGCACTTCTGGTCAAGGGGGAATTTTGGACAAGATCAAGTCGTTCAATGCGCGGTTGGAACACATGGCGCTGGTTCTAGAAGGAAGAGATATTTGATGGATGAGCCCGGATATTTCTTGAATATCTTCTGGAAGCGGATACCAGGGTGAGTGACGGCGTTAACAGCGGTTGGATTGCACGGCGGATTGGACATACATGGACATGACTGAATACGATGCCGACGACAAAGTAATGGACATGAACATGCACACTCTTCAATAGACGCTGCAATATGTTTAGAATTGAGGATACTGCTGCTGCTTGTAATGCATTGTCCATCGCACTCAGCACTCTGGGTGGCCGCCAAGCGAGAAGCTCCAGTGATTGGCTGGGTGGGTGGATATACGATGAAGCGGACGGGCTTCATATGCAGGTGGCTGTCCCATGCGCGCATCATCTCGAATCGAAGCTTGGATGTTCCCTCGCTGTCCCTTCAATCAACACCACAGCGAACACCCACGCCATGCGTTTACTTGGGCTATGCGCATTGGCGCTGGCCGCCGGACGCGCTCACGGCTACCTCGACACTGCGCCGTTTTTCATGTTCTCGACCTCGGAGTATGAACTCCCCGAGCTTCGATGCCAGGCACACTCCCAACTGACCATGTCCAGACTCCTAACGACAACCTCTCCCATTCAATCCGCATCACTTCTCACATCTGACGTGGCATTATCACTCTCCTCGTGTCCTTCAGATTACTACATCTTCGTCTCACAGCAAGGCGTCTCCCTCCAAGACTACTCCAACTCGAAGAAATCGACACCTTGGCTCTCCAAAGCATTGTCGCCGTCCCAGGCCGCGGAGTCAGGCATTCGAAGCAGCTTGACTGTGTCAGATGTGCTCGGTCCGCTAGATTCATCGGCGTTGATTGATGCCCTTAGGACGGAATGCGGAGTTTCAACAACAACAGTCATCTCGAAACACGGCGGGATCCCCACAAACGACCTGGCGACCTCGCCACAGTTGATACAGCTCAATCTTCCTGCTCCTTCATCAGACAAGAGAGCAAGCGACCTCTCGGCGAATGATGCCTTTCTGGCGTCTCTGATCGATCTGCTTCCCAAGCAGAACTATACGGTCTTGTATACGACAACCCGCTCCGCGGACGGAATGGTGGTCGCCCTGGGAAAAGAGCCTCTTGAATATGACATGGAATCGCAGCTACAAGAGAGTCTTCACCTGGATCTCAAGCGAGATCTCGGCGTGCATGCCTCGGCAAACAAGACGGGCAATAACCAGACTATGATTGACGGGCCTTTGTTTGATAAGTACCAGTTTTTGACACCAGGTATGTATCTAGCATTTTCGTGATCCGCTAAAAATTGGGCACAATAGTCCCTACGCAGCCTTCTACTCTTTCCTGTGGGGATATGCTGATACTGACGCCAACTCGTTGTGCAGGAATCTTCATGGGCTTTCTCGTCGGCTTCCTCCTGCTGTCGATGCTATATGTCGCCATTTCCGCCGTGGCAAGTCTCCAAGTCACATACGCTGCATTCGATAAAGAGCAGGGCCATCTCGCAGGGAAGAAGTAGATATGAGAAGACTCGATACTTTGTTTGAAAGGTGCCACCGCTCGAGGGGGCACACGGAGACCGGGATAGGGATAGACAGACCTGTACGGAGTGTAACAGGCGAGATCTTGTGAACAGATGGCCTTTTGCCCTAGTCTTAACCCGATGCTGCGTTAGAGGCGCAGGTGAAGAATCTTTTGGCAAGCGTCCTGCCTAATGAGTCAACGTGGGCCTCCGGAGATGGAGGTGGTGGTTGAGGCGGGGCTGAAGAGCGTTGCATCCAAGGAATGAAATGTATACAGTAGCTACAGTACCTACTCGTACTGTGTTGTCCTTATTGCTGATGTAATCATGTTCATGGCAAACTGATGAGGGTCACAGAGACTGTTTCTGGTGTCACGGACGCTTTCTGTTCATGGTCCCAAGAACACGCCTCCTTCTCCATTGTGGCACATTACTTCACGACGGGCTGGAGGTTACGTGCAAGCAGATCGAATGAGGACACGTTCGCTTGGCTTGATTGTCAATTACGCTGCATTCCCAGACTCTGCCGGGTCTGATTTGAGTAAAGTATGAGATAACTTTTTCGGCTGCCCTTTCCTCCTGTTTCTACTCTGCTGGATCTTTTGCAACACGGGACGGGCTCATCGCGTAGCTTTGGAATTGCCAAAGAGATCAACTCGCTGGTAAGAAAGTGACTGTAGATCCGCGAGATTTCCTCGTCGTCTCCGCAGTCCATTCATCCAGCTGTGATGATAGCGCATACGCTGTCGAGCCAGCGTACTCTCCACCCAGTTGGGAGTAATGTTACAGCCTCTTGACTACATCCTCCAGCACCTCCTGAGTACTTGCCTTGCCTCCTAGGTCGGGTGAGATAAACTTGCCCTCGCCTAAGGACTCGTCCACGGCCTTGTAGACCGCTTGAGCGGCTTCGGGCAAATCCAAAAATTCCAACATGACGCCCACACTGCGAATCGTGGCGATGGGGTTCGCAATGCCTTTGCCCTCAATGTCAGGCGCAGACCCGTGACATGGCTCCCCAATGACAATTCCCTCGCCGACGTTTGCCGAGGGCACCAGGCCCAAGGACCCAACCAGCGCGGCAGCTCCGTCGCTTAACAGATCGCCGTACAGATTCGGTGCCACGATCACGTCGTAATACTCTGGTTGCAGGAAGAGTTTGTACACCATGCTGTCGACAATCTGCTCCTCCACCCGCAAGGACGAGAACTTTTCTTGCGTCAGCGCTTGCCGGGCCGTGGATCGGAACAGCCCGTCGGTTTGGCTGAGGACGTTGGATTTGTGGGTGATTGTGACCATGCCTTCATTCCTAGATGGGGAGGACTGTGGTTGA